TACATGTGATAGGAGAGAATGAACAGTGGTGATGGTTACAAAACAATGTGAATGTACTTAATGTCACTCATTGTATTATACACGTGAAAATGTTTAAAGTGGTACATTTTATGTCATGTACATTTTCCCACAATTTAAAAAAGAGATAGAGATGAGAGAGAGAAAAAGAATGAAATAGTATAAAATACTGAGACAGCTAAGTGACTCTCACAATCCTGACAGCCCACAAGTCCCCTTCTCAGAAATAATCACTCGATTTCTAGTGACTCACCTTTCTTTTTAATGCATTGCTATACAAGTCGCTATTTGCATAGTAAATTGGGGCATTTATTTGGAATATTTTTATTCCAGGAATTTCTTTCACCTGAGGAGTAAAATATTAGTGACTTTAACGCATGGAAATATTTCAGAATCAAAAATGACAATTGCCTCCCTCCTTCAACTTAAAAATTAACACAGAAGTTGCAAAGGGCCCTCTTTCGGGGTTTAGTTTAGGTAAAATGGTACCACTCTATCTACTCATGCTCTGGAAGGAAGAGTTCTGTGAGGAGAGCTTTTAAAAATGCACATCTTCCCATTTCTTTCACAAGTCCGTCTTTATTTTTACCATTAAACACAAAGAAGAAGAAACTGAAAAATATTCAAAAAGACAAAAGAAAATAGATAGGAGAGGGAAGGCTGCTGCCCAGACTGTGAGAAGCAGAGAAAACAAGTGAACAGAGGTTTACATTGGTTTGATTCACAGAATGCAGGAAAGAGCCGAATGGACATAGTGAATTCTTCACTGAGAAGCCTCGTGGAACTCTAGGATGCAGTTTGGAAATAAGTAATCCAGCAGGTAATTCTTTGGAATGAGGAAAAAATAGCAAGTCTAACACCTATACCTTATAGTGAGTCTAATTTCCTCATTCCCTAATACCTTATTGTGAGTCTGAGAATTTCTTCCCAAGCATAAAGCAAAACAGACAAAACTTGTTTTAAAGATTTTGTAGAAGTCTTTGAGATTCCACAGAAGAAAAGAACATTCAAAATCAAGAAAATTTGAAGACATAATTTTAACCATTAAAACGAAGTGGGAGAATTCCACAGTCCCACCACCTGTATTTTACGTGGTTAAAGTTAGTATTTTATCATAAACACATCAGAACAAAACCATGCACATACAGTTGGTTTCAGTGTTTTGCAAATAAATACTTTAATTCCAACAATACATATTTATCCCCATTAAAAATGAAGAAAAATAAATATTAGGAAATTGAGTAGTTAATGCATAGTAAAAACTATAAAATTGAATCCAGACAGTCAATTGGAGCTCAGACTTCTCACTTTGACCACTATACTTCCCTCCCTTTACCCCTACTTTTTGTCCTGGGTAAACATAGTACGTAGCCAATCAAATCACATGCTCACGACCTTTTAAAATGATTAAAAAGTCCTACCTCCTCATATGCGTCTATATCAATGTATACATCAGTGTCGGGAAGCTGTCCAAGGACTTTGTAGCTCGGACTGGAGATAGAGAGTACATTAAATACCATTGTGTTGAGATGTGGTATGATTTAAACATAAGGTTTTGTATGTTTACATGTCATGTAAGGATTTTCTAGTGAATTCAGGAATACTTGATCCTTATATGGTGGCTTTGCAGAAGGGCTTCATGTATATCACATTCCCAGTGCTATTCCAAGCCCAACATACCCCACACCTCAAACCACATACCTGTACCACACATACTCATATACCACACACATACACCACACACACATATCACATACATCCCACACCCCCACACCCCACACACAATACATACCCCACATCCCCCAACATACACACCACATACCACACACACATGCATACATGCTACACAAATACCACACACCATACACATACACTACATACCACATACACAATATACACACACATTATATACTACGCATACATACACACGCATATATACTACACACATATCACCACACACATACTCATACATCACACACATACAATATACACACACACCCCCACACCACATACCACACATAAACACATGCATCCACTCCACACAGTACACACACATCACATACACCTCACACCACACAGACTATATACATCACACACACACCCACACTGACCCCCATCACACACACCAAACCACACAAACAATCCGGTCAGGACAAAAGACTCTGGCATTTAAAGATGGGGGCAATAATGAATTGTGCAGAGTTCAAGTTATGCCAGGGCCATGTGTAGCTCGAGGTCTCCTCATGCCACTCAGTAGATAGAATTGTCTTCCTGCTCTAAGATAGGACAGGGAATTTTTATTTGTTATTAGCAAGAGTCGCTGCCTCATGGTTGGGGTGGGGGTAGTCAATTGAGGGTGTGGGGAGAAAACAAAAATCTCTAATTAGCATAGAGATTTTCCTAGATTTGGTTTGAATAGATTTTAAACATTACTTTTTGAGAGCCCTAATTCCTAATGCTTTTTGTGGGACAGTCTGGCTCAAATAGACACCATAATGATGACAGATACTATTTCTTGAGCACCCGCTATTACATTATTATACCTATGAACGATCGTACTGGACTTATTCCTACCATCGTATGGTTGAGAAATTGAGGCTCAGTGGGGTTAGGTGAGTTGTTCAAGGTCAGAGAGAGTGACAGAGCCAGAATATGGCTCAAGGTCTTTGATTTGACATTCCATCGTCTTGCTACCATATTCTGGTGCTTCTTAGCACGAATGTGAAAGTGCTTTGTAACTTAGAATACATAACACAGATGTTAGCTGTTCTTCTGGGTAGATTTCCTCTGCAAATATTTAGAGAACACATATGTGCCTTGTACTGGGAACATCACCTCTACACACAAGATGCTCACAGCCTACTGCTATCTGTGGACAAATACCATACCAATGACCTACATTGTATATACAAGGATGAGGTTCTCAACTGAGTTTTCAATTATGAGAAAAACTCTAAGAGACTCTTACGTGCTGTCCATGTGTTGCAATCTAGTGCCACAGGGGAGGTAGAGTGAGGGGCAGGCACATAGAGCACACAAGTACACAACTAACTGGGATGGACACATGCAAGTTGCTGGGGGAAGACCAGAGCATTGTGGTGGGTGCACAGGGGAAGCTGAAGTCCCTCTGGCTGGGCGAGATGGGCCTCAAAGGATGAGGATTTCAACAGGCAGAGGAGGAATGGGCCTTCCTGACCACCTGGTGTGCCCTGGCACCCCATTTCTGCAAGTCTAAATGCTACTGATTCCAGCGAAGGCCAAGTCCTTGTTACTTCCCTAATGACACTGAGAGCAAGAAAGTCTCTTTTAATAAACTCTCATGGGGTTTTATTTGGGCATCTCTTATGCTTATTATCACACTGTACCTTGCTTACACCTAAGGAAGCACTTATAACTGTGCATTCTAAGTTTTTTTTTTTTTTTTTTTTGACAGAGTCTCACTCT